TTTTTTTTTTTTTTTTTTTTTTTGCCCCCTAATTCGTATTATGTTTGGATGGATCTGGAGTGCGTTTATCTTTGCATTGTCTGGGAAAGCAGAGAGTAAAATTGCAAAGAGAAAGGACACGTTTTAAGCTACTTAAGAGACTGAATTATTTCTGAAGCCTTAAACAAATAGTCATGTAGAAACAATGCAGCTAGTCATGGGGGGGGTCATTGGGTCTTGCCCCTCTTTTTCTCTCTCTCTTTTTAAAGATTTTGTTTATTTATTTGACAGAGATCACAAGTAGGCAGACAGGCAGGCAGAGAGGGAGGGGGAAGCAGGCTCCCCACCGAGAAAAGAGCCCCATGACGGGCAAAGGCTTTAACCCACTGAGCCACCCAGGCACCCCTCTCTCTTTTAACCCTCTTGACAATTTTGAGATGCAAATACTCTCATCTCTATTTTATAGATGATCAAATTGATGTTCAGACACATTCATTTACTAGCTCAAAGTTGGATAGCAAGGATCAGAGCCAGGATTCAAACCCCGTAATTTTTTTTTTTTAAGATTTTTTTTTTAAGTAATCTCCACATCCAGCATAGGGCTTGAACTCACAAACCCGAGATCAAGAGTCACATACTCTAGCACTCTACTGACTGAGCCAGCCAGGCCCCCCAACTCCAGGCCTTTTTGACCCCAATATATTTCACTATATTATCCCAAAGCTATTCCTGCCGTTGGTTTCAGTCCTCTCAAAATAACGTTTTGGTTCAAGAAACAAAATGTACTGATTTCTTTCAAGACATATGCAGTTACAGTATTGAAGCTTAATGAGATTTCTCAGATTTATGGACCTAGTTGTTGGAAGAAACAGCTCAAGGGGTTTGCCTCTCCCAGTAGGATGGGCAGAAGGAAGGGAGGGAATAGAGGCCTGTTGTATTTCATTAGAAGCCATTATGTACCGTTACCATTTTTTTAAAGCTATGTACAGGTATCACTTTGATAAACATGTAAGAAAGATGATCAGCAGTAAAAAAAAAAAAAAATCCTGAAATCTACTCACTGCTATCATTAGCAGTTTAATGATCATCCGAAATGCAGGAAACGGCAATTATTTTGTAAGGCAGCTAAGAGCGTGATCACAGAAACACGCTTTGAGGAAACTGTTTCCTAGGGTCTTGAAATTGAAAGAGATCCGAAAATCACAAGTCTGAAGTAATACAGAATTTCCAGTAATGGTGAAATGTTGTTATTCGTTAACTCTGTGATCACAAAATTCATCTAGGGAGAAGCCCATAGTTAACTTGGAGACCACACCCAAGGAGAAAAGAGCAGAGTTGGATTCAGCCCCGAAGACTGAGAGCGCCGGGAAATTGGCAAAGCAAGCCGCTGAGGTGGGAATCACAAGAGTTCTTTGCATGTATCTTTACTATGCCCGTGACTTCTCTACAGACTCTGCTTTATTTAGACTGTGTGGCAGGTTGAAGTGCATATTGATTTGGGATATTGGTTGTGCCTTAAAATTTTTTTTAAAAACAGCTTTGTTGAACTCTATTAAGCTTTACTGAGCTATAACTACATAAAGTATACATTTTTAGAATATACTGTTGGATATGTTTGGTATGGTGTGTGTACACCCATGAAATCATCACCACAGTCAAGGTAATGACTATCTCCATAACTCCCAAAACGTTGTTTTCTTTTGTAAATCCCGCCTCTTCTCCCCTACCCTTCCCCAGGCAGCCCCTGATTGGCTTCTTGTCACTATATGTTAATTTGCATTTTCTAGAGAATTCTGTTGATATGATATGGAATCATGTTGTATGGGCCCTTTTTGTCCATCTCCTTTCACATAATTTTGTGTAATTAAAATTATATCCATATGGTTGCATGTGATTAGTAGTTCACTCCTTTTTATTACAGAGTAGGAATGCATTGTATGAATACACCATTGTTTGTCCATTCACCACTTGATGGGCATTTGGGCTGTTCCTGGTTTTTGACTATTACAAATAAAACTGCCACGAACATTTGTGAGCATGTCTTTGTACAGACAGATGTTGTCTTTTCTCTTGGGTGAATACCTAGGAATGAAATGGCTAGATCATATGGTGGATGTATTTTTTTAATTTTTTTTTAAGATTTTATTTATTTATTTGACAGAGATCATAAGTAGGCAGAGAGACAGGCAGAGAGAGAGAGGAGGAAGCAGGCTCCTTGCCAAGCAGAGAGCCCGATGTGGGGGCTCGATCCCAGGACCCTGAGATCATGACCTGAGCCGAAGGCAGAGGCTTAACCCACTGAGCCACCCAGGTGCCCTTGGTAGATGTATTTTTTTTTTAAAGATTTTATTTATTTATTTGAGAGAGAAGGCGCGGAGGGGCAGAGGGAGAGAGAGAAGCTCAAGCAGTCTCCCCCTCGGAGCATAGAGCCCTCCCGGGGCTCAGTCTCAGGACCCTGAGCCAGAGGCAGATGCTTAATTGAGCCACCCAGGCTCCCCCATATGTAGTTGCATTTTTAACCTCCTGTTTTCCAAACCGGTTGTGTCGTTTGACATTCCCGCCAGCAGTGTGTGGACGTTCCAGTGCCTCCCCATCGGCATTTGGTTGTCTCTTTAATTGTTGGTATCGTCATAGGTCTGTAAGGGTCTCATTGTGGTTTTAATTTGCATTTCTCTAAGGACTAACGATGTTGAACATCTTCCATATCCATCTTCCTTGGTGAAGTGTCCAAATCCTTTTGCCCATTTCCCCCCTTGGTTTCTTCAGAAATTCTGTGTCCGTGCCTTTCATCAGATACATGCTTTGCAGGATCCTCTCAGTGTCTGTGGCTTGTGTCTTCATTCTCTTAACAAGAGCTCTCGAAGAAAAAAATTTTTATAAATTTTGATGAACTCCAATGGATGGTGGTGATGGTTTTGTAAATTTGTAAATTTTGTACATTGTAGTTAAGAAAAGAAACAGGTGCCCCCTTTTACTTCTGTGAATTTTTGCCAGGCAAAGGGCTGTCCTCCACCAGGAAAATAGAGCTGACAACTGGGAGGTGAGATGCAACCTTGAGGAAATTAGACTAAAGTGGGCAAATGGTTGAATAAGTGACAAAGCCATTGTGAAACTGATGGTTAGGTGGGGCCGTGTGATCTGCTCCAGGGCTCTCCAGGTCTCTGTGGGCTCTGACTGCCCAACTTGCTTTCTCAGGGAGTAACCAGTGAGCAGAACTTCTTCCCAGGACCCCTCCTAGACAAACTTAGGGACAGTTTGGGAGAGATTCATAGTACAGAAGGAGGGGATAAGAGAGTTCTTTTTCTTCTTCCTTTTTCTTTTTTTTAGTTTGGGTTTGCAATTGCAAAAGCTCTAAGGTTTCTTTTCTTTCTTTCTTTTTTTTTTTTAAATTGTGCTAAGAGAGAGCACTTAACATGAGATCTACCCTCAATAAATTTTTAAGTGCACAATACTGCATTGTGCCCACATACAGGCACGTGCGGCACACGCCCACACACACATTACACACACACACACGTCTCCTCCCTAGGCCTCTTTGAAGGGATAGAGTATCATCATTTTGGGTCCAATCAAGAGATAGAAACTACCCAGTAGATTAAACAGGGGAAAGGTTAAAAAATTGTTAAGCTATATCAGAGTAACTATAAGAAATGAAGAAACTCAACATGGCCTCCCAGGCCTGAGGGAGAATTCTCAGGAAAGGACAAACTTGGAAGGGGTTCTCTAATCTCCTCATTAGAGAGGAGATCAGAGAAGTTTGGTTTGGCCATGGGGCGGTGGTGGTGGCGGGTTGTCAGCAGGTGGTTTGAGCATGCAGCCTTGGGGGGACCCTCTGGATCAGTCCATGTGGGATCCGTGCAGAGGGAGTTAAGACACCAGCAGGTGTTGGAGGTGTTTGGGCACTGATTTCTCTGCGGAAGGGCTGAGAAAGGTTACTGTCGGAGGCTTCTGGCTCAGGTAGAGCTCTGCCGGAGGTCCTCACACCCATTCTACTGACCATCACCCTCCTATCCCCTGCTGCAAGCCAGAACCTGCAGGAGAACCCTTCCCTCTTGCATGCTTATTGAAGTGCTCATTTTTTAAAAAAAAGATTTTATTTATTTATTTGACAGACAGAGATCACAAGTAGGCAGAGAGGCAGGCAGAGAGAGAGAGAGGAGGAAGCAGGCTCCCCGCAGAGCAGAAAGCCCGATATGGGGCTCGATCCCAGGACACTGGGATCATGACCCGAGCCGAAGGCAGAGGCTTTAACCCACTGAGCCACCCAGGCGCCCCTGAAGTGCTCATTTTTAAGGAGAAAAGCTTAAAAGAGCTCCAGCACATATCACAGAGCTTATCTGGAGGGCACATTTGGAGCCCAGTGGCAATACATCGGCTGCTGGCACAGTTAACCTGTGGCTTTAATAAACTGAGTGACAGCAAGAGGGGAGCAGGCCCTCCCCCCCACCCATCCCCAGCTTCTGGCAGCCTGGATTTCTACAAAGCGATGAAACCCTGTGTCTTCAGGCCGACTCTAGCTAATCCCCAGACAGGGTCTCCGGAGTTCCTTGGGCAGGTGCAGCTTCTTTATTTTATCTTATTTCTCCCCTCACAGGGCAAACCAAGGCCCAGACCCGGAGACCTGATTGAGATTTTTCGAATTGGCTATGAACACTGGGCCATCTACGTGGAAGACGACTGCGTGGTGCATCTGGCTGCCCCGAGTAAGGGTGGATACTCTATTGACATATTGATATTGACATTGAAGTTAGCAGAGTAAGAATAAGTGCATTTAGTTATTGGGTTCCTCAGCAGCTGCCCTTCATTCGCAAAAAACACTCAGTGCATTCCTGGCCCTCAGTGGACTGGGTAACGGAGCTTGATCTCTGTCCAGCCAACGCCCCGGAGCGTCCAGCCCTAAAGGAGATGCAGTGCACCTGGTGGCCCTGTGTTCGTTGAGCCTCGGTGTCCTTCCTCCTATTTCTGAGGCTTCCGCAGGAGGGGTGCAGATGCCTGCACGTTCCGATGGCCGCTAGATGCTGCTTCCAGCTTCCTGGCTCGTCGCCCTCCTCTTTCTGACTGTACCCAGACACACAGCTTTCCTTTCATTCCTCAAGGTCGCCTAGTACAAGGCTGAGATTCAACTGGTGACTAATAAAAATTTAGTGGAGATTTGATGGGAGGATGTGGTGATGGAAGAAGATAGAACAGGAGGCACACTTAGTCACAGTGGTCCCCTTGTGCGAAGGGACCAGGAGGCGCTGGGAGAAGGGGACGCTAGGGGACACCCCTGTGTACGCTCTGATACCTTCTGAATTTTGCATTCTGTGTGAGTACTGTCCACTCAGGATGAAACTGCAGAAGGGCCCTGGGACCAAAGGCCTGTGGCCACACCATGCTCACGGCCCTCACCCCCAGGGCTCAGTCCTCCTCCTTAGGTCCTGCCTCCCCCCTGCAGGGCGAAGCTCTCTCCTGTGCCCCACTATAGGAAAAGATGCTCAACATCATCTGTCATTAAAAAAAAAAAAAAAAAGGCTGATGGGCTGATCTCCAGGTGAAAGGTGTCCCACTGGGGGGGCGGAGGCAGGGGCGCAGTTCATGTCATCCACTTGCCTTCCTCGGCCATGCCAAAGCCGAAGCCTTGGAGGGAAGCCGCTTGACGGACATCTTAGAGTGAGCCAGTGCACTACCCGCTCCCCCGCCCACCGCTGTCCCTCGCAGCTTTCCAGCTTCTGTTCCTCTTGGTCCCCAGGTGAGGAATTCGAGGTGGGTAGCATCACTTCCATCTTCAGCAACCGCGCGGTGGTGAAGTACAGCCGTCTGGAGGACGTGCTGCACGGCTGCTCCTGGAAGATCAACAACAAGCTGGATGGGACGTACCTGCCTCTGCCCGTGGACCAGATCCTCCAGCGCACGAAAAAGATGATCAACAAGATTGTGCAGTACAGCCTGATCGAAGGGAACTGTGAGCACTTTGTCAATGACCTCAGATACGGCGTGCCCCGGAGTCAGCAGGTAGGGCGACCTTTGCGACTTTTGCCAGGACGGTGGCTTCTGGCTGAGCCTTCTTGGGGCTTGTCATCTCCTCGGTGATCTGAGCGGGGGTCAGTGGTTTTGCGCTCTTTGCTGTGCCAGGGGCCTTCTCCGTCCACAGGACTTCACCGTTCAGGAGGTGGTTTCCCCTCTGTTAGCCCGTGGAGGAGTGCAGAGGCTCTGGGCTGTAGAGCTGGGACCCTTTGTTGGGGGGTCGCCTTGGTCAGACTCTTTCTGTTTGTTCTTTCACAAAACGGGGGTAAAGTGAGGTTTGGGGCTACATCTGGCCCACAGACATGTTTTGCTTGGATGGGTAGTGTTGTTGGGTTTTGTTTTTTTAATTTGTACGACTTACCGACACTTAAAAATATAGAAAAATTTTTAAAGATTTTATTTATTTGACAGAGATCACAAGTAGGCAGAGAGGCAGGCAGAGAGAGAGGAAGGGAAGCAGGCTCCCTGCTGAGCAGAGAACCTGATATGGGACTTGATCCCAGGACCCTGGGATCATGACCTGAGCCAAAGGCAGAGGCTTTAACCCACTGAGCCACCCAGCCGCCCCCAAAATATAGAAATTTTATATAAAAAGATGTGGATTCACAGCCATTCTAGAACAACTGATGGATCAGGCCATGAGGCCCATGTTCTGCTCGCCGACACCCTGTGCGGCTGAGTAGTGGCTGTCTCTTTAGATGGGGTGTGTGGGGGTTGACGTGCCACCTGCAAGCTTCGCCCGTTTTACTGGCCTGCCCTGTGCTGTGTTTGGGTTTGTGACCCCCCAACCACACGGGGTGGGGATAACCCCAATGAGGCACAGTCCATGTGTTCAAGGGCTTTGAAAAACAGCTCAAAATATCTGTGACAACCTGAGCTGCCCTCTTTCCTATTTGATCCTTACTAAACCCCACGAGAGGAGTGGCAGGTGCATTTATTATCCCCTTTTTGATAGATTGAGAAATGAAGAATTAAAGAAGGAACACCTTTTTTTTTTCTGCTTTTTTTCTGTGGCTCTTGTGTCCCCTCAGGATACTGGGCTTAAATCCCAATGCTGGTCTCTCTATTGTTGCCGAGTCAGCGTGAGCAGGTCACCCACCCCAGTCCCCTCCACTTTCTGCACCTTCCTCCTTTGTTTCTGTCCTCTCCCGGCCTGCACTCCATTCTCTGGAGGCCTCGCTCCAGTGTAGGGGGGCTTGGGGGCTCTGGTGTCAGGGATCTCCCATCCCACAAGCATTTGTATATGACAAGACCCCAGGAACCAAATGGAAGCCAGGGAGACTTCTCTGGAGTGTGGGCCACGCTCAGACACTGATTCCTACCATGACTTTGTCCAAGTGAGTTCCCCTCCCTGGCTCTCAGATTCCCTGTATGTAGATGAAGGTCTCAGTGGCTCAGGCACGCTGAGATCCTTTGCCTCCCTGCCCCTACTCCAGAGGGAGACCCTGGGCTGAATGTCTCTGAGGGACCAAGGAGGCCAGGAGCCATGGATGCCCTGGAGGGACAGGGAGTGCGTCTGCCTCGGATGTCCCATTCTGGGCCATCCCGACTTCTCTAGGTCCCTTGCAATGCTAGGATCTTTGGAGATAGAGGCTAGCACGGGTTACTTCCTCCTCCAGGCAGACCGGGTGCTGAAGGGGAGTGGTGGGGCGAGGCACAAGCCTGGGATCACCCCTGAGTGTCCTGTGGACTGGTCTGCTTTGCAGGTGGAGCACGCACTGATGGAAGGTGCGAAGGCTGCGGGAGCGGTCATCTCAGCTGTCGTGGAGAGCATCAGGCCCAAGCCCATAACGGCCTGAAGGAGCTCGGAACTCCAAGCAGAGGAGGAACTGCTGTCATCGGTAGGGACGACGTGCCTCCTTGCCTCCCCTTGCCTTCTCTTTCCATAGCCCCACTCGAGAAAATTGTGAACTTCTGGAAGAATCTAGAATGTATCCAAAGACCCCTCCAGAAATACATCCAATATATGTGATCCTAGATCCATGGACTCTCGGGGTGAGAAGAAACTAATATTTATTATTATGCTTCCGCCAGGCACCAGGCACCGTGCTAGGCATTTCCTAGGCTTGTGTCATCTCCCTCCCGGTGGGAAGGGTCTCGCTGGTTTCTCAGGCTGACTCTGGTCTGTGATGTTTGAATACCACCTACGCCATCCTGGAGCCCTCTGCTTGAACATTCCCAGGAACAGAGAGCTCTTTTTCAGAAGTTCTTGTTCTTGAACTAGAATGTCTCCAGCTTGTCGCCCTCACGCGCATCCAGCTCTTCCTGACCCGCAGCGCTGTGCGGGGGGAGGAGGGCTTGAAAGAAACTCAGCGGCTTGCTATGCAGGGTCCCCTGTGCTTAATCCAAAATCATACACCAGCCTTATTCTCTGTTGCTGAACACCCCCTGCTTTAAAGTATAATCAACATTTACTTTGCTTTTCTACCTTAGAATTACTGGAAAATCGGAAATAGTTAGTTTCACTGATTTCAGAGAAATATTTAAAATACTTTCCTCCACGGACTTCTGTGCACATGAGGGAGAGGAAGGAGTGATTTTTGTGTGTGTGTTGACTGCTGTTGGCATGAAAGCAGATCTAGAATGAAGACCAGGGCCTGTTGGTGCTAGTTGAGAGCCGAAGGGATCCAGGAAGGCTAGAGAGGGCCTCTCAGAATGGCTAGGAACCGTGAGTGATGTGGACGGAAGCAGGACGGAGCCCCCAGAGCATTTCACATGAGATCTGTTAGGATGGCCCGTGAGCCTTTCTCCTATTTGGACAAAGTAGACTCTCAGCGAAACTCTTCCATTTCTTCCCCCTCCCACTCTTTTCCTAGCAATCCGAACTTGACTGCATCCTCCTGTTGTCTAGACGCTGGGTCTGGGTGTGTGTGTGTCTTGCATCTGCCTTTTCCAATGATCTCTCTCTCTGCTTTGCGTGGGAGTTCCAGGGGTTGGTCGGTGGAGCATATGCCCTCATTTCTGTGAATCATGAGGAGGATAAAGTCATTATTACCCACCCTGAGTCCCTCCAACCATCTCTTCCCCACCCCCTAGAATCTCCCGAGCTCCCAATACTGCTCCCTTCAGCTCCTTTTTCATTATGGTCTAGATTGAGGCTTCCTTTGAAGTAGAACCCAAGCACCAGGAATTTATCTCCTGTAAAGTATATTCCTTTTAGTTTTGAATTAACTCTGTTGTATATTAGTGAACTTTTTGATTCTGACTCTGACCTCCCAGACCGTAGTAATCATTCATCCAAAAAACCAGATTTGTTTGGTAAACAGACAGACAACTCCCCCATGCCAGAGAGTGGTTAGTAACTTGTGAACTAAGGGCTCATCTATCTCTTGCTTAGGTTTGGGACAGAAGGACACTTCTGGGACTTCTTTCAGTTTGCACCCAGTGGGCCCGAGGGCCTCAGTTGCGTATCAGGGTTTACGTTCATTCATTCATGCAACAAACATTTTTGAGCGTCTAGCACGTGCCACATCCTGGCTTTCCCCACCTTGGCCTGAATCCACCAGCAGCGCTTAGGGACAGCAGCAAGAAGTTGCATCGGCTGGAAGGACACAACACACAGTGGGGCGTGGGGTGGAGAACACCTGCTGGACGGCGTCTACTCCTGCCTCGCAGGTGCGCGTAAGGCTGCGAGCTCTGGAACGCACGCCCTACACTTTGTAGGTGTGGGGTGGGAGGGAGGAGGGTTTCTTAAAGTGCTGTTTACAAACCTGGAGCAGTTCCTGCCTTCTATGGTCATAACTGAATTCTCTGCTTTGGGTGGAACCACTTGGGTGAGCCTTCTCCGTCTTGGAGCTATAAGGAACACACCTGCTGTTCCGGGAAAGCCATGTGAACGCCAATGTTTCCAAGATGTTATGCACAGATCTCTTGTTTGTGTGCCTTTTTTTTTTTTAAAGTGTTTTGATTCCTTTTCCCTTTGGGGGGGATAAGGGAGTGGGCTCAGTGGTGGTGTTGGCCCACTGGGCACGTCAAAGGGAAAGTCAAAGAACTTGACTGTGCTACGTCCCTTCACAGTAGGGCACCCAGTAGTCATGACACATGACCCAGCAGGGGCTGTACTCAATCTGGGTGCTTGGCTTACTGATTGAAAGGGCGACATCAGGAAACACTAAATGAGCTCTGCAAAGATTATTATGAGGGTAAAAGGATCTGTTATCACTGGCTGCAAGTGGGAGAGAGAGAGTGGAAAACATATCAGTCAGGGATGCCAGCTGAGTCAAAGAGTGAAGCCCACCTCTCGGGCATCAGGCCAGAGGCTGAGGGGAGACAAGGGCAGAGGGGAGAAGAGATAAGCTGCTCCCAGTGTCTTCTAATGCTCACAATCACCTTTTGTTATTCTCGAGCTTTGTCTTGAGAAGTGGGATGAAGGAGCCAGGGCGCAAGGCTGTGGTACCCAAGACAGTGACTGCTGCAGAGACAAGAGGCCCAGGGGACCACTGGAGGGAGTCCGTCTGAATCAAGCAGACCTGGGACGGGGGGTTGTTCCAGGTCAACATCCTTGGGAAAACCTTGGGAGGGAATTGGATCTCCTGCAGTCACACAGGAGGGGAACTTGGTCAAAGAAGTGGGATTTTATTATTATTTTTTATGGAAATGTATGTATTTTTAATTAAAAAAATTTTTAGTGCATGTATAATTAATATGCAGCATTATAGTTATTTCAGGTGTACAATATAATGTTTCAGCAATTCTATAGTTGACCCAGTGCTCCTTGTGAAATGTGTGCTCTTAATCCCCCTCCCCTGTTTTACCCATCCCCCACCCACCTGCCCTCTGATAACTACCACTTTGTTCTCTGTATTTAAGAGTCCGGCTTTTGTTTGCGTTTATTTTCCTCCTTCGCTTTGTTTTTTACATTCCACTTATGCGTGAAATCATGTGGTATTTGTCTTTCCCTGTCTGACTTATTTCACTTAGGCTTATACCCTCTAGATCCATCCATGTTGTGGCAAATGGCAGGATTTCGTTCTCTTCCGTGGATAAGTAGTATCCCATTCTCTATGTAGCGGTCACTTCTTCTTTTTCCGTTCATCCATGGGTGGACACTTGGGCTGCTTCTGTAATTTGGCTCTTGTAAATAATGCTGCAATAAACATTAGGGTGCATGTGTCCCCCTCCCTTTTTTTTTTTTTTTTTGAGAGAGAGAGAGTGCAAGTGTTGGGGGAGGGGTGGAGGGAGAGAGAGAATTTTAAGCAGGCTCCACGCTGAGGGCAAGGCTCCATCTCACAACCCTGAGATCATGACCTGATCCAATTTTAGTATATGTGCTGCCGAAGCGAGCACCATGACCTGATCCAAAATCAAGAGTCAGACTCGGGTTGCCTGGGCGGCTCAGTTGGTTAAGCATATGCCTTTGGCTCACGTCATGATCCTGGTGTCCTGGGATTGAGCCCCAGGATTCCCCATCTCTTATTTCATCCATCTCCCACCCACCTCCCCTCTGGTAACCACTAGTTCTTTACAGTTAAGAGTCTCTTTCTTGGCTCCCCCCCCCCCTTAGCTTGTTTGTTTTGTATCTTAAGTTCCACATAGGAGTGAAATCCTATGGTACTTGTCTTTCTCTGAGGGACTTATTTCACTTACTATAATACTCCCTAGTGCCATCCCTGTCATTACAAATGGTAAGCTTTCATTCTTTTTTATGGCTAAGTTTTAAATTTTTTGATTTAAATCCTGCTTTCAACAGTGGCCGGACCAGCTTGCGTTCCCACCAACAGGGCACAAGGACTCCACAAAAGCAAGACTTTATTTATTTATTTGATGGAGATCACAGAGAAGCAGGCAGAGAGGCAGGCAGAGAGAGAGGAGGAAGCAGGCTCCCTGCTGAGCAGAAAGCCCGATGCAGGGCTTGATCCCAGGACCCTGGGATCATGACCTGAGCTGAAGGCAGAGGCTTTAACCCACTGAGCCACCCAGGCGCCCCAAAAGCAAGATTTTAGAGGGAAGCCTGGCTTCCGAATCTGCGGGTCTTGGATGCTTGAGCCAAACGTGGTCTGGCCCAACATAAGGGCTGTGGGAACTGAACACACTGCCTTCTAATGGTCATAGACCATTTTGACCCCCACTGCTCCTACCGAAACTTCTTTTATTGCTTTAGCAGAACAATAAATGGTCATACAAAGTTGGGGAAGGCTCTGCGAGCCACATAAAGTTCTGTTCTCTCTAACTGTCTGTTCCCAGCGCGGTTGAAGCCATCCGTCAGTTAGGCAGAGCCTGTAATGAGAAGACAACTGGGCCCCATGGCTTCTCCCTGGCACAGAAGAAGTAGTTTTGGTTTTGGGTTTGTTTTTTGTTTTTTTGTTTTTTTATGGTGGGTATTTTTTGTTTAATCTTTTGGTGACTCAAATTGTTCAGCTTGCTAGGTTAAATGTAAAAGGTTAATTTTTATATTTGCTTTCAAACAGATACGCTTAAAGTTCAACCCCAAAGGTAAAGCATGTCTGAGTCTGTGGCCACGTGGGGAATGCTTTGTGAATGAATACATTTGGGTACTTCTGCTTCTGCTTCAAAAGAAACGCTTTCCAGGAAATCATCAGAGGCCACACACCTGTTTTCTCACCTTGATGAAAGATGGTTTCCTTCACCTTTCCCAGAACCTCAGAGCAGGGGTTAGGGTGGCAGTAAGGAGTTGTGAGTCAGAAAGACAAGTCCACTGTGGCTCCCATGTCACAGCCCAGAACCTTCTCTCCAGGCATGATGTCATCAAGCTGCTGGTGTTTACCAGGAATAGAAATGGGGCAGCTCTGGGTGAGGCGGGGAGAGCTCCCTGCAGGCAGCAGGGGACTGGAGGTGGAGGAAAGCTTCTGCTGGATGGGAAGCCTCTCAGATGTGCTCTGCCAAGCATTGATAAGAATTCCACATTAGCGACGGACGACAGTAATAGTGACATTCACGGAGCGTGCACACCGTTCTATTTTAAATGCTTTAGGACCTCCCTTGACCATGTGTTTCTTACCTTCACTGCAGACTCTGTGGCCCCTCAAACAGCTGCCCCTGCTCGACCCACTTAATCCAGGGCTTTAAGTGGGTACATGTTCATAGCAGTAATGTCTCTGCTTGGTGAAGTAAGGACATCGAGTGGCTTTATTTTTTTTTAAGAGCTGCTTGATAATGAACCCAGAGATAACTAGGGGAAGAGAGTACTTCAGGCTCAAAGATGCATGACAGTGTAGGCAGAACCAAGGACTGTATTCTCCCTGGGGCCCACTGACCAGAGGCAGAGTCCGCACATAATCCCAACGGTGGGTCTCTGGCTCCTGGCTGAGTAGGAGGAGAGATTAGTCGGGAGGATGAATTTTTGAGGCTGATCTGTGCCACCTTTGGGATGGACGTGTTCTGCAGGATTCCGACACTGAGCTGTGTTTGCCCACACACAGTCAAGATCCACAGAGCGGAAGCAACACGGTGCCGTCATCTTTATGGGAGGTGGA